TACTCTTTAGATGTTTCTAGAGGTACAGAATTCATCTCAAATTGACTAGTAGGAGCTACACTTGTTGATAAAAGGTCGTCGCGAAGACTAAAATCATTCTGGAATATATTGGGCATGCAATTCAATCAACCTTTGCAGAAATAAAGACTACTATTATATCAGTTTATTTACAAAATCTTTTATTAATAACATATTTTGCTTTTTTACTAATGACCTTTTGTTATCATTGTTATCACAACTGAACAAGCCAAGCATTACTTCCGGTGAAATATATATATTGCACTGTCGGCGCCTTTAATCATAGCTATGTCACATCCTGGTAAATATGTATATTGCACCGGAAGTGATCGTCTACCAGATATAAACCCAACGCGGTGCCTTTCATCTTATGGCTTCCCATGATACAATATACTATATCCCAGTTGAGTTTGGGACAAGAAAAACTGGAATAACTTTTTATAGGAAAGTGAAGTAAGGATGAAACTTTCACAGGTTCTTAGTCGCCAAAGTCCATCAAAATCTGTGAAACCTTGGGTCTCTTAACCCTTGGAAACCCTGAAAACCGGGTTCTCCCTATAAACCCAATGGCATACCAAAGCTAACTGCAATGACATATCATGATGTCATAGTTTACATAAGCACATGTGGTCGAGCGCCCAAACTGATAATTCTTCCTTTAAAAAGCTAACAGAGCAAGATTTTCTGATAACGATGGCCTTTATGAAGATTAGTCCAGCAGCTATTGTACTGCTTATCAGCAGCAGAAAAAATTCCACACAGCTGCTTCCACTTCCGTCCCAAACTGAACTGGGATATAGTATACATAGTATCAAGAGTGCATAATTATTTAGTTATTTAGCTATTAGGGAGAGTGTCTAACCCGCCTATAATCTGTGATACCACAGTGCATAAGTTTACATAGCATGGTTATTAGCACCAAGTAGTCATTCTTGCGTCCTCCTTAATCCTTATACTGATTCCAAGTCAGAAAGCTGCAAATAAGAAAGAGCCAACCATTAGAAGAACATATTCCCGTCTGCTCCTGCTTGTTTCTCGCACTACATGATCCTCAGAGTGGAGATATAAGTCTTAAAGTTGCCTTCATGCACTAGCCATTAGGGAGAGATTGTTACCATCCTGTAAACTATCCGTCAACAGACTTTTACAGGCTTTGCCTGTATACTATACTGGGGCTTCGCCCCAGTATACTATCTTATAACAATATAGAAATTAAGTGATACGACAATCAGTGGGGTTGAGGCAGCAGGATCGTGGTGGCTCAGTGGGGAAGGCGTGGGGCGGCATGGGGCAGAATGTGGACGTGGTACTGGTTCGAATCCAGCTCAGGGCAGGGCAAATTTGCTTTTCTTTTTTTTTACTTTCAAAAATTTAACTTTTTACCTTTTCTACTTAGCCTTCTCCCCTAGTTATGTTACTCCCCTAGTTAGCTATTGTTTTTTAGGACTTAGCTATTGTTTTTAGGGTTTAGGGGTTAGGGTGGCGGTTTTTTTTTTAGAGCGTCCCTACTTAATTTAGGAGCCCCTTAGTTGGTTTAGGGTTTAGTTTTTTTTTTATTTCAGAGAGTCCCAAGGCTTTAAAAGTCCCTAGAGCAGTCCTGACAAAAACTAAGTTCCATTTTGCACCGATGCGCATGCGCACAAACTTGTTTTACGGACATTTACGGGATGGTAACAATCTCTCCCTAACGGCACTTCTGCATGCTTCAAGCGCCATTTTATCAGCCACACCCATAAATTTGAAGATTACTGAGATTAACTCTGTATACTTGCAAAAAACGGATGTAAACATACGCGCTGTGGTATCACAGAATATAGGCAGGTTAGACACTCTCCCTAAATAATTATCCACTCTTGATAGTATCTATGATTATAGGAACGAACCTGGGGGC